GTGCTAAGAAATGCTGATGTAGCAGTTATTGCTCCCTAGCATAAACTAGGGTAAGAGGGAGCTCTAGTGCATAATAAATGACAAACCCATACATATACATGATTATAAATGTTAAAACAATTGTGGTGGTAGGTCTGGGATGTCACTTATATAAAAACTGAGATTACCAGCTAAAGAAGTATTAGAGCAAAAGAGTTCAATGACCCTGAAATTGCACATGAGTCAAAAGGGATCTTATAGACAGGACACAACTTTTCCAAGATATAATGATTCCAGGTATTGGCATGTCTTTAACACTAGGGATACATAGCAGCAGATTTATGGTTACCTCACCATTGATTCCTGAACATCTTGGAAACATAATTACCGATCTTATCACAGTTATAAAACACACCTCTTACTGTTTTTTTTCTAGGTCGTTTTTTTTGCACACACCAATATTAAAGTGGACAATTTTCATTGCCAAAGAAAGAATTGGCTGTAATAGGGGCAGAAGCATATAAACCTTTTTCTGCATATAATCTGCATGGTGATTATAGAATTAGGGATGCACCGAATCCAATTATCGGCGGCCGAAAATTGTACTATCGCAAGCTGCTGATAGAAAAAAAATAGTGGCGATAATACGCTGCCTGTCCACAGCAGAAGCTTTCACTGCTCCTTCGTGCCCAGCTGCTGTGCTCAAACAGTAGGCAGTGGTTGAGAGCAATACCCAATAGCTGGCTGACTATTGCACCTGGCCACTGCCTGCTGTCAATCACCAAGAGACCAGACTCAGTTCTCTAACAGTCTCCACCCACTGCCAGCATCACTGGGCTTTACTATACTAGCCCAGTAACACTGGCAGTGGGCGGAGCCTGTGAGAAATGAGCTCTCCCTTAAGTCTGCTCCTCTGCTGATTGACAGCAGGCAGTGGGCGGGAGCAATAGATATCTGCTGTTGGCTATTGCTCCTGACCACTTCCTGCTGTTTACATCTTTTTGATCACAGTGGCTGGGTGGGAACGAGACGGCAGCGGGGCCAAGTGCAGACTGGGGGTGGTGGGGCAAGGGGCTGGTAGATGCTAGCTTGGCATTTTCGGTTTTGGCTGGACACATTTTTTTATTTTCTGTTTCAGCCACTAATTTTCATTTCAGTGCATCCCTAATTATAATAGATATAATCTGAGGTGAACAATAAGCCTGGGTGCACCATGAGCAATGATATCTGTGTAAATCATATTAGGTAAACTCTCTAAGAAAAAAAAAACAGCCATAGTGTATCCATCTATTCTTAGCCTATGATAATGAGCCCGCAACATGTTTTACGGCACGATATCATGTAGTGTTTTTTGCTACTATGCAGCATGTTCAGTGCAGCCTCTTGTGATAATATCAAGCAATACCAATGTGCATCTATTGATTGTCTGTTTGTCTGTCTATCTATCTATCTATCTGGACTGAGTTCCATCGATAGGAGATAAACAGGAGTTCCGGTCTGCCTGTGTCTGCCTGTGTCTGCCTGTGTCTGCCTGTGTCTGCCTGTCTAATACAGCCTCTTGTGATAATAGGAAGCACTACCAATGTGCACCTTTATGGTATTTATTTGATGGTATTTGGCCTCTTTAATAAGATTTAAAATGTATCAGTTTATACCATGTGGGCCCACATATGGTAATTCCTAAGTTATTATGACTTACTACACTTTGAACGTTGCTATCTCTACCTTGAATAAATGCATGTTTTAGTAAAGAAGGTCATTCACTGAACCTGATGCTAAAAAATCAGTGTGACTGGATTTCATTCAGAAATATTTAACTGGGAAATCTGTAAAACATTTCCTCATATTTACCTTTTGTGAACAATTGGGGACTTCCACCATGGTCATGGAAATGTGACAATGAGTCATAGTCTGTGCACAAAGCTATCTGTAACTCTTTTTGTTTACACAAGTTCAATTGCAAAATCATTAGCAGGTAGGAAAGTAGTAGCAAATAGGGAAAAGCACTATAAGAATATATCCTGGAGGTTTCTATGCTAATTTACGGTTGTATAGTCATTTTTTTATATAGGTTTTATATGATTGTTCTCCAATAGGATAATTAAGCAAAAAGATGAATGGTAAACTTGTTGTGACCTTCCAGACGCTGGCGGCACACAATAACAGGAGACTGCTGTGTTGAGCAGAGGGGACTGTAAGCTCTGGCTTCAGGTCAGCATCTAGAAAATCAAAGCAGACTTACCACACATCTCTGGGCCACAGATATTTGCTGATTTTACTTATTACTTGTGAGTGCAATTACCCACATATACAGTTTGTCGTATTAAATTAACTGTGTTGCACAAGGTCGATGCGCCTTGTTCTTTACATTTTAACACTAATGAAGATAAACTCTTTTTTAAACCAAGGAAGTTTAATATACCTTTTAAAGCTAGTTAATGTTTAACCAAGAACAAAAGAATTTGCTTGAGCACTGAAAACTAACTTGACAGTAGCATCATTTTCTTTCCTTAATAAATGTAGATAGAATGAGAATCTCAGAATCTGCACTAGTGTGTATGTATATGTGTATGTATGTGTGTATATATATATATTATACAGTATGTATGGAACCAAATGAGGCTTAAGAGCCAGCAATGCTTTTGTACCACTCTAAGATTGGTCTATTCTCCATATTACTATTGTAAGATGCCTTAAAGTGGACCTTCCAGGGAAATGGAGGCTCCGCTCTATTAAACACCCCCCGCCACGCCCCCCCCCCCCACCAC